TCCTTCGAGAACAAATTCTGGTACCGGCATCGGTTAAGATGTTCGTACCTTACCTTGGTGAGAGGATAGTGTGTCCACCACCGGGGTGCGTAGGAGTCTTTGCTGATAGTTTAAGGTCGGGTCTACGATTTTCGCTGCCCAATATAATCACAGAATATTTACGCGATTGGGGTCTAAGCCTTTGCCAGATTACGCCCAACAGTTGGAAGAGAATCATAGGACTAATTATCCTTTTGAATGAGAAGGGTTGGGGAGCGCCCTCTCGCAATGACATAAGGAGTATTTATACTTTTAAGAAAAGTCCGAATAGAAAGGTGGCCGAATCTTCCTGCTGTTTTTTTGCCGGAGGTAGACCACAAAAAGATTTTAACATTAGTGAGTTAATCGATGATGTGTCGGACACTCTTCATGGTTTTCAAGAAGAATGGCTTTGGGTTGGAGGGGATTGACAATCCGATGCTGCCATTCACGGTCCTCTCATCAATGGGATGAAAATCTCTAGGAAAATTGTTTCTGAATATTGTAAGTGTCATAATATTTGTTGTTCTTTTTCTGATAATTGGTTGTTTCCTGTACTAACGGGTTGGAGCTTTTCCTGTTTGTAGCAAAAAGGAAGAAAGAACCAAAGCTCAACCCGGAATTCGGTGGCAGGTTATTAGAGTTTTTTCAGATTGCCAAGAAAGATCGTAGTTGTAAGAACTTGATTGAGGAACCGAAACTCGAAGCAGCAGACCTGACTGTGAAAACCGAAGATCTGGTCGCCTCGTTTGATCTTGGTACACGTCTACGTAATTATCATGAGCGTAGCAAGTAATGAAATTGTTTATATTCCGTTTAAGTAACTTTTTGTAATGATATGTAGTGTATTATCCTCTTCTGGGATACTCGGGATACGGCAGCATCGAAGACGCAAAGGACTTCAGACGTCGATTTCCGAACAAAGAACTATCTTCCAAATTCGGTAAAGGTCGATCACAAAGGCTGACGGACGCAATGAGGAGAAATTTAGTTACAGCTTTTCGCAAAGGTGTTATCGGGCGTCAGAAAACCGACATCGAAGCCGGTGCGACTTCGGTGATTAGTTTAGAAAGCCCTGAACGTCAACGAGAAGTTGAAACCTCTACTGGTGATACCAATGTGGTGACTGCTGAAATTCCGAATTTAATGACGATGGAAAATTTTGAGAACACCGAGCAAGCTCTGGTGCAAACTGTATCGATCCCGGGTGATACCGAGGCCGTAAAAACTACTGTCACCTCGGGTATGGAAGTTAGACAGGAGCAGCCTGAGTCTCCGCCGAAGACGAAAAAAAGAAAGTTGAAAAAGAGATATGCGGAAGGCACTCCGGTCGAATCCGAAGAGAGGACTAAGAAAAAGCATGACCGAGGCCACAAGAACAAAAGCAAGGAGGGTGAGACTTCACCACTTGTGGACAGGGCCTTCCTCGCAATTGACGAGGAGAGGGAAGCTAACTTTACTTTGCCCAAAGGGACGGTGGAAGACTGGTATTCGACCTTCCAGTCGGTGACAGTTCCTCGTATTACCTCAAAGACCAACTTACCGGATCATGTAATTGATGCAGCTCGGGTACCCATGATGGCATGGGACCCGATGATCGAAGTGGGAGTATCATCTATGCCGAGTGTTCATAGACTGGGTTATGCCAAGGCTTGCCTAGGACGAGCTCTTGTTTCTCTAGTTATGACGGAAGATGATTATCGAATGAACGCCGCTCAATTGAACGAAAAGGAAGATACCCTTGAGAGGCGTGACAAGATGTTGGTCGCGTTTAAAGAAGAAGCTGCCAAGTCTGAGGCGGCTTTGAAGGATAAACTGGCTGAGCAGGAGGCTCAGATTGTTGGAGCGCAAAGTGAAATCGCGTCTTTTTTCGAGGAGAACAATAATTTGAAAGTCGAAGTCTGGACACTGACAGATCAGCTGGCCATGTCCGAGCACAAGGCTAAAATGCTCGAGGAGAAGCTGTAAGAGTGTGAAGCTAAATTGCGGAAGGAGCGTGCCAAGCATCAAAAAACTCGGATAGACCGTCTCGAAAAGCAATCTGAGTTGATCCGAACTCGTGAGGCTTATACCACCGAGGTGGCTGACTTTGAAAGGGCAAAGGTTGCTTTTGGAGAAGTTCAATATGAGAAAGGTTTTCAAGCCGGGAAGGACGCAGGTATAGCTACCACCGTGCAGACAGCAAAATCCGGAGCCGAGGAGGCTGATGATGGTTTGTCCGGAGGACCTGCGGAAGGGTCAGATCTCGACTTTGAAATGAATGCCTGCATCGTTCTGCGCTGGGTACTGGAGCACTGTGAGGAAAGAAAGTTATACGATTTCCATGATATGCGAGTGTTTCTTTTCCAGAAATTGGAGAGGCATGGTTTTGACTTAGAGATCAAGGCGGCACACATATCCCTGCCGACGATGATGAGCGTGAATACTGCGAGTGGAGGTTGAGCCGGTTTGAGGCAACGATTGATAATCCTGATTTCGTCCCTTTATCAGAAGAATGTGAGAAAATTCTTCGTCGCGCTTACGTCGACATGCTTTTGGAAGGAGAAAGGGATAAATGAGGGGAACTAGCTAAGGTATTTATCGAGAAGGTAGCCGAGCTCACCGTTGCTCATGGATTTGAGAACATGACCCCAGAAGCCATTCGAAATGTTGTCGTGAAATACGATGCAGACAAGAGCGAGCTTGCGATGGCTGAAGTCGGTGCAGAAGAAGAGTCTTCGAAAATTCTTACTCCTGAGGAGCAGGCTAGATTTGATCTGGTTCCGTTCACTAATGAGGTTGTGGAAGCTGCTACTCGAGACAAGGAGGTTGATGTGTTGGAGAAATTTGCAGAGCAAATGAAGAACTCTGGGCCAGAAGTTGGAGAGAGTAGTGGGACGGTGAAGGATGATGCCGGCGAGGGGATTTGAGGATGTCAACTTTCATATTTTGTCTTTGTTTTCTATTTTTAAGTTCATATTTAAGCTTATCTCCAAAGTTGGGTGTCGATGTGTTTAGACTCCCGACTTATTTTTCAATGACTAATGTAATGGTTTTGTGGGAATGAAACAACATCAATTTAGTGCTTTTAATGTTATGCACTCATGTCCATTTTGAAGATTCTCGAAACAATGATAACATTTTATTATAACTTCTTATCCATCTCAGAGAGTACAACTAGTTCGAAGGCTAGTGAAACAATTAATTTGAGATGTAAATAGACTTGAAGTACGGAAAACAAAACATTCCGCGTACTTAGTCTAAGGCGAAAAAGTGCTAGTACCGTTATCTTGTTCTGAATATATTTCAAGTCTACGCTAGGAAGTCGTTTTTTGTCTATTGTCAACCGACTTGTCCGAAATCTTTATGATTTAAGTTTCATGTGATGCCCAGTAGATGATGTTGTTTCCTGGACTTACATATGAAGAATGAGTTATTGTTTCGGTATTTTCGGAGAGTTTGGATGATATTTTTCTGATCTTTGCGTGAAGAGTAGCGATGGATGCGACGGAATTTTCTGAATTTTTGGAGAGTTTGGATGATATTTTTCTGATCTTTGCGTGAAGGAAAAAGAGATGAGAGTGTGAGGGAGTGGCGTGAAAAAATGAATAGAGAGAAGGAAGAGATCGGAGCGTGGACGTAAAAGGCAATAGAGAGATTGAAGATATTTGGCTAATGTATGCAGCTACGACTTATGTTTTCCCTACTACCACATATGCGAGACAAGTTTTTTCATTACACTTGTATTAATTTCTGTGATTTTATATTCTCAAAAAACGCAAATGGTGATATAAAAGGCATGTATATTAGTCCTCTGTTACCGCATTAATCCTTCTGTAATTGATGCCCGATTTATGTAAAAAAAAGGAAAGATTGCCACAAAAAAAAAAATAAAAAAACCCAAAAAAAACGTTTGAAAATGGAGAATACAGGATGTAAATTTAAATTTATATATAGTTTATTTTTAGTTTATTATACTAGAAAAAATCAATTTGTTATACAAGAAAAAAAAATATATAGGGTTTATTTTTAGTTTATTATAGTTATAAAATTAATACTTTTATACACACAAAATGTAAATTTATATATATATATATATATATTATTTTCAGAATACAAACTATTGATAAATATAATAAAATCATAGATAAACATCAATTAACACTCAAAAAGCTACTTAATAAAAAACCTTCCAGATATTATTCAAGCTCCCAACTTCAAGAAATAATAGATAAACATCGAATTAACACTCAAAAAATTATAAATAAACATCGAATTAACACTAAAAAAACTATAAATAAACATCAGATAAACATCAAATTAACACTCAAAAAACTATAAATAAACATCAGATAAACATCGAATTAGCACTCAAAAAACTATAATTTTTTTCCCAGAAATGAACACCCGTAATGAAATCATAGATCAATTAAAACTCCAAAATCTACTTTATAAAAAACTTCCACATATTATTCAAGCTCTCATCTTCAAAAAATCATAGATAAACATCAAATAAACATCGAATAAACACTAAAAAAGCTACTTTATTTTTTTTCTAAAAAAAAAAAAAAAAAAAAACAGATAGGACTAATGGAATCAAAATCGTTTCAAGAGTGTATCACCACACAAAATCATTAAACCAAAACAAATAATCCCGAGGCTAGTTAAATGGGAGGAGCTAATAAAGATTTCGATAACTCGCCAGCAACGGACCCGGAGATTTCCGAAATCGATTTTCTTCTGCACAAGTCTTGTACTTCCGTTGTATTCAACATTAGGGCCAACCTTTTGTTTTCTTTCGATTATGCATCACTATAGCTCCGCCTTCAAACGATGAGTTGCAGTTCGAGTAGCCTCTTGATTTCAGAACTCCAACGCGTCCCCAAATCTAGAGGATGATTCCAACTTCAGGCACTGGGAATCGAATCTAGGGTTCTGGTTGGCCAGATCTGCATCCGCTAGGGTGAAATTCAAGATGAAGAAACTGTCAATTGCGTTTGTTGATGGATATTTGTTCGGGCTGGCCGGAGGTCACGACAAGGTGGCTGGTGGGGGAGAGGGACGGGGCTGTGGAGGCGAAGGGCAGGGAGAGGAGGGATGACAGGGAGAGAGAGAGAGAGGGGGAAAAAGTGAAGGAGGAAGTGGGTGAGAGACGGCTTACCGTAGGCGGAGAAGGCGGAGTCCGGCGGGGAGGGGCAGGGCGGGGGCGATGAGCTAGAGGGTGAAGGACATGGCGGTGTACCCCGAGCAGGCCAGGGTTTCGGCGGCGTCGATGATGGACTGAGGCGTAGGCAGCGGCTAGTATGGCTAGGAGACGGTGGGGAGTATGGAGAGAGAAAATATGAGGAGAGAGAGTGGTAGTTGCAGAGATGCCATCGGGGCAATGGAGGAACTCAATCTAAAACAATTTCAAAGTTGACCTAGGGGAAAATTTGTCTCGTTCTATGGTAAACAAAAAGTCAAATTTTGTTTTAAGTTTTGTTAATCGTAAATAAAGAAGAAAACTTCTAGGGCCCCGTACAGCAGGTAATTATCTCAAGATATTTTCCTTAATGATAATGATTAAACCACAACAAATTAACCAATAATAAGGATCGTGAGGGGCTGATGGGCGTGACTTTTGGGGGAGGAAAAAGGGCTGGTCCAACTTTCAAAATACCTATCACAATTATTTGAATTTATAATTGTAAAAGAGATATAAAAAAAAAAAAAAAATTAAGGCACAAATAGGTTCACAAAAATTCAAGGGCCGGTTCTTCATGGGCTAAATGAACAGAAAAAGTCTAGAATTGGGTCGAAATAACAAATGTTCGAGATTCTGGTTGAAACGGCACAACAAGGAATTGAAATGGATTTAAATTTGGTTTACGCGATTAAACCGATAATTGTCGAAACAATTTAAAAATCCGAAACAAATAAATCCTACTAATCCTAATTTACATAAATTATATATAAACATATAATAATCACTTATATTAGTCACATAAGAACTTTATATCCAGCAGAACACATAAGATGAGCAATTAATATCATAATCGGCAAATAAATAAAATAAGGTAAATATTCAAAATAAACAAATAAATAAAATTATAAAATTCCAGAATTCTAGTAAACGAACGGGGCGCTACATTCTACCCTCCATAAAATATTTCCGTCCTCGAAAATACTAAAGAGCACGCATCCAAAGGAAAATCGACAGACTCATACGAAAATTTCCAACCATGAGGTCCGGGTATCCCCTCCGAAACTCGACCCCGCTCGCATGAGTCTTATCGCCCTAAACTCAAAATGGCATACACCCACATATAGAACCTAATCCGACTCGCCCTATGCTCATATGTTTACCTTCTTGCAGGGGAGGGCAATCTATCCAGCCCGTGCTCAGGCGTACATTCTCTTGCAAAGGACCCAGTCCGGCTTGGCCTATACCCATGAGTATCAACCATTTCGCAACGTACCTAACAACTCACAAGACCCCAACAGGTCGTTCGGTGTATTGGTAGTGTACTCCAACTGCCCAACCATCAAGGTGGATACGTGACGCCAAGCTTCAGTCCCGTGCCCGGGTCACACTGAAAACCTGCTCACGATTTTATTACAGACCGTGTGTCTCCATCAGAAACGTCGACACGGTACCCCATATAGTCGGTGCAACTCCAATGTGATCATACTTCAATAATATCGCCTCTACAAGTCAAACACAGCCTTTGTACGCAACATGAGGCTTCGTCAGATAACAACACGAAACTTCATAATTTCCCGACTCGAGAAACTCTCGCGTAAAGCATAGGACTCATCGACCACACTCCTTAGTCGAAAATAATCAATTAAGGATTCATACACATCTTAGTTGAACTTTGAGCTCTTGGTTTAAGGCTCGCAAGAAAAGAGTTCAAAAGGCTAACCAAATAGCCCAGCATGAAACGGGTCGAACAGTTCAGGAAAGAAATTGATGTTTTGGGGTTAGTGCACCTGTCACCTAAGGGGCGGCACGCTCGTTGCCGCTGCATAAGCGGGCGCTGGGGCACGCGCGTACACACTTATTGGGAGACCAGTTTCAAGGTCGAGGTTTAGCCGCACCCGCTGGCTCGGGGAGTTTGTGCATTCAGTAATGACGGCTGCAGCTCTCGTGCGAGTCAACAGTCGGCCCCGCGGTTGGCCTCGCGTCTCTCAGCATGGGCATTTGTGCTCAGCCACTACTTCGCATGACTACACCCGGCCAGGGCCGACTTTCGATCTTAGGTTCCACAAGAAATTTACAATTCAAGGCCACCAAAAAGGAGTAAGGTTTACTAAATTTCAAAAATTTTGGGTTCAACAAGACAATGTATATTTCAGACGTTTCACAATTCCAAAAGATCAAGAGTTCCAAAAAAAGCGAGGAGCAAGTCCGAATTCCAAGTCCACCACTTTTACAAATGACACACTCTAATACACGAATAGATCAAACGATGGAGATAGACGAGAATTCTCAAAGAAATTCTAATACAGTTCTCTAGTCGGGAATAATCCCAAATCAGCAGCTCCTGCCGTGAGATACAATAGCTAACTCGTCTCAACTCTTTCCAATGAAAGTGTTGGCCGTCACGTCAGCTCTTCCTCAGGTAGCTAATCGTGTCAGCAGTCCTAAACGAGCGCAACTCATTTTTCACCTCTCAATCTTCACACTTTGGGATTCAAGCGTGAAGTTTCTCCCATCAAAATGTCTCCAATCGCATCTTCAGATGTTCTTTCTACATCCCGGGGGTTCTCATAAATAGGCCGAGATGTTATCGACGAAAATACAATGACTAGACAATCCATAGCAGTCGTCGGTGTGTGGCTCGGTCCGAAAGACACCACCATACAATCGCGGTGTTCTTGTCGGGTTCCATTGGTTGTCCTGACAACATCTTGAAATTAGACTAGGATATCATCAATAAGGGTGATGACATACTGACCTGAATATGAATGGAATACTCGGCCGATTAGGTCCACGAAAACGGTGGGGGATCACTCAGTCCGAAAGACACAGCCACAACTTGAAGAAATGATATAAGACAAGTGGAAAAACAAAATACTTGTCTTAATTGATACGCAAGGTTGCAACACTCGTATAAAAGCAAGAACAAGTGTTTGCAAGGGATTACAAAAGTCACAAAACAACAAAAGATTTCTCCCGGAACTCCGAAAGGAGTAAAAGAATGAGAGTTTCTAAAGACTACGATGGACAAAACTCAAAAACAAAGACGGTTCTGCACCTCACTATGTGCTTGTTCTGGACTCGACTATCCTCTTTAAAAGATCCTTCATAATCTTTTAAGGCGGAAAAACACTCCTTGGTATGCGTCGGCCACCACGTATGCTCCTCTGGTACAACGCTCAGTTCGATCAAACAGAGGGATATTTGGTTGCAGACTTAGGATCATTGCCAGCAGGAGTTGCAATATTTGCAACAATTAAGGACTAGCAGAAATACGAAGATGTTTAGCCTTATCTGTAAATAAAGCCTCCGAACAAAGTTAACGCCAAACATAAGCTAAACAAGGGTTGCGAAAAGGTTATGAGAAGTAGAACCCGAGGTCTAGAAATGAAAGCATAATTCTTCCCCCAACAGCCCATTCAGTTGCTCAGTTTTGATTCGGTCTGACTTCATTCCGGGCGTACAATACCAGTCGAGCTCAGGTTCTTGGGTGTCATCAAAATCTCACTCAACGCATCCAATAGAGAGGACAAGCGGATACTTCAAGGTATGAAAATTGTATAGTAGGCAGGGTCTCAAAGACACACTTCAAACTTGTCTTCCAAACAATACTCAAGGTTTTCTAATTTCGCAGAAACAAACATGGATCCACTGAAATTGAAATATTTAACCCATTCGAAAGTCACTCTACAGAAGGAAAGAAAAGACAAACGAAAATTTCAATGTACGAAAATTGAATAGCAAAAGGGAAGTCTCACGCAAAATTCTAATTGTCTGTCAAGCGAAAAGAAATAAACAAGGTTTAGCAAAAGTCTATGAGAAGACAAAAGCTTAATAAAGAAAAACAAGACTGCTACGACTTTACGAGTCCATGGCTCGCTGCCTCCGCTATCGATCTCGGTCATCCTCAGATAGTCCCGCTGCCGCTAGGCGATTGCTCTCGACCAGATACATGGAAAATAATTTTGTCGTCACCTTCTCGATTGAAGTGTCACCCCGCAGTCATGGCATAGGATATCCGCCCTAAGAACTAAGTCGAATTCCTTCGTTTGAGAATTTTCGCAAAAGAATAGGCAACTATCGCCTTTCTCGAGGCTTAGCCAGTCTCGAGAGTCGCAACAGTGCTACGTACTAAGTTTCCCCACTACTCCTCGGTGTCGGACAACATCATGGACAAGGAACCTAGACTTTTCTCCCGTTCACATTGACTGGGTTCTAACATGCTACTAATGGTCTTATTGACAATGGTTACAAATTTTCAAATAACCCTCGCATCTGGGACTTTTTCGGTTGTCTGTTCCCTTCACTTAAGCCTTTTCTTTTGAAATTGCTAACAAATGGTCCTCACTTGAAGACACTAAACAAAAACTTATAGCGAGATAACTGCTATAGACGAAACTTAACTCAATAACCCCTAGAGTTCAAGTTCATACAACTAAAGTTTGCAACTCTTCTAGAGTTCAAGAATGTTATAAGCAGGAGGATGAAATTCTAAGCCCCAAATTACAACTTAAATATCAGTCAATACATAAGCATTTCAATATCACTTATGAAATTATACCTGAGTTGGTGCGGCACGACGAAAGCGAGTGGTCATAACTACATCATGTAATTCAAATATTCCATAGAGTTCACATAATTCATATAGAGCAGTCTACAGAAATGCAGACCTGCTTTGATACCATACTGTAACGCCCCACTTTGGTTTAACGAAAATCCATGACTTTTGTAAAAAATCAATTTAAATTTTCGAAACTCGTTTCAAGACATTTGTGGCGTTACTCATTTAAAACTAACATCAACAGTCATATTAATAATATCCATATAATCAACTCCCAAAACGGGTTTCATCACAAGTCTTCAATCACCCAAACTGGTTTCATAAAATCATCACAGTGTCAAAAGGGGCATCTCCCCAACATTTTTTAAATCATCATAAAATCCCAAGTTCATAAAATCATAAATAAGTTCAAATAGCGG